GTATGTTGTACTTCAATCATTTTCGTTATTCTTTCCAATTTCCTAAAAATATTTACATTTCTATTGCGCTATTCATCTTTATTTGGTTACCACGGTCACTGATGGTATATATATAATTGGTTTGAAATAGTACAATTTGTTTATATAAATATTTATCTTATTCTCACTTCATATGAATTATGATCTGAGTATAAGAAATAAACAAGAAGTACTGATGGTTCAAAGCTAAAACGTTTCATATTGAAAGAATTAGGAGTTTATTTACTGTTCAGAATTCAGTCCAATGCAAAGAACTATTTTCTACTATGCATATACTTCTATCGTATAGAATAGACGAATGTAGTTATCAGTTCTTTTCAAATGTATCTGTTACAATATGTATGTTGCTCAATAATTAAAAATTGATCATGAGAAAATAAACCGCGGTGTTTATATATATGAACGGTTCTTTCCAACTCAATTCATCCAACTTAGGGTTTCTAAAAATGTACATAAAAATGTATGTTAACTTTAATTTGGAACTATGTAATTTTAATTTTGATAATGTAATAAGAACTATATATTAGTGCAATACATTTCGAACAATCTGATCACACATATACTTGTTAAGAACATTGATGTATAAATATAAAACGTTAACTAGACTATAAATGAAAGGTAAGAAGAGGAATGGTGTGAAAACAATTTGAAACCTAATCACTCTGACTAATAAGCCAATATTACCAGGGTAGGTTAAAGGTGAGGACAAACTGTTTTTGAATACACAACGGGGTTTGAATTTTCGTATGGCTAAGACTCCTCACTTATACCAATACACGTGGACAACTGAGGACACTCATTCGATTGGAAAAATGTAGAAATCTTAGACAAAGGAAACTCCAAAAGCACCAGAGAATTTTTAGAAGCCTTGCACTCAGATCAATCAGCAATCAACAACCATATTGAACTCAATCAACTTTACCAGCCAATCAGGAAAATCATGCACAAATATAGGAAGTTTGTGCTGATGATGTCGTTCAGAAGAACGATAAAAGCTCCACGACCAAACCATCCAGCTCAGAGAACAAAACTCCACCAAAAACAAAAATCAAACCAATGGGAGACAACCAAAACAAAGAAGTAAACAATGACAAATTTAAGGTCAATAAGAACCAATCAACATCGAGGTGCACAGACCAAGCTGTGAAACACATATGGAGAAATTCGAACACTTCATTTCTATCTGAAGTTTGTGCTGATGATGTCGTTCAGAAGAACGATAAAAGCTCCACGACTAAACCATCCAGCTTAGAGAACAAATTTCATGCAATTGGTTCCCTTTATGAATTTAAATAAAGCAAGAACAAATATTGATGCAGAATAGTATGAATTCATATTATTTCGAGGTTTCTCGTCAGCTGCTTACAAACCAAAAAATGTGATAGAATTTTTACATGGAGATAGAGTGAAAACAATTGACATAAATGAGTGTAAATAACAGGGTTACAATAATAACTATATATATATATATATATATATGCTAGAAATAGGTCAGAGGTCAAAAGAAGGGGGTTAATCCAGGTTGGGTGGTGTAATAATGTAATTGAATAATCATAAGATAGGTTACGTAATAATAATTAAATAGAATATGAAAAGTTAAGATAATTTAGGAGGATCAGGTGGTGGAAATGCGTAAATAATAATGTGGTTTAAGAATTATGTAATAGGGGAGGAATATAAATATTTTAAAATAAATAAAAATAAAATAATAATAATAATAAAGGTTACCAGGGTAGTGATAAGCTAATTAACGTCTCTTTTTGAATGCATAAGTCAGGTTTAAGTTTTTTGATCATAATAGCTTCAGCAAAACGGAGGCTGGTCGTATTTCTTTGTCTATTGATAACTTTGAATGCATGAGGAATGTCGATGGTGTGTCCGGTGTCAATTAGATGTCGAGCTATTGCACTGTTGAAAGCCCTGGTCCCACGCAGCCTCAAGTTTTTTGGAACGTGCTCAGAAATGCGGACATGCACTCTTCTCTCAATTCTTCCAATGTATGTGCTTTGGCACGTACATGTAAATTGGTAGATGCAGTTGGAGCTACTAAGAAAAGAGGGCTTGTCGATTTTGGTTTGTTGAAGTGAGCAGTTCGTTTGCCATAGAGAACAAAACTCCACCAAAATCATCCACCTGAGCTACAAATCTCCATTTCAATAAACCTTAGTATACGCCCTTTTACGCTTTTGTATAACAACACAAAAGCCGAATTAAGATCAATCTTATGACCTATTTCAAATATAGTATTGTATGTATATGCCATATATTATATGATATGTTTGGCAATAGAGGATGATGGGTGTTTATCCTCTACCCTTATTGGGTCATTTGATTTTATTTGTTTCTGCAACCATTTAGGTACATGTTCACACACCCTAATTTTAAGATCATGATTACTCCTCCCTATGTATGTGTGTGTGATCACACCCATACTTAAATTGACAAACACAGTAGAATGTGACGCAATCGTTTTAATATCTTTCCTTGATAATGACCTTTGCTGCGTAATTCGTCTTGTTAATGACCGATTTATACCTTCGTTTCAATAAAAGTTAATTTTAATAATTTCGTAGATAAAAATCCTTCACTCATTGATAAATAAGTGAACCTAATTTGTCGTTGTATATATGCATTTAAAGGAATAGAGTAATACATGCATTTTTTCAATCTGTTAATAATATCCTACTCTTATTTTTATTTAGTTTCAAGCATAATACTTAAGGAAAAATTAATTATTTGAGTCATTAGAATCATGAACGTTATTTCAGTCTAGAATTACTCAATGAGAAATAAGTTATAAGTACATTTATGCTACCCGTACAAAGACAAAGAAACTAGATAAATAACCTTGTTAAAATACATGCAGATGATTAAGAGAAAATAACTATGTAAACTTTATTTCATCATCATTCGATTAGTAAACATCACTTACATACTTATGCCTGTTACCCGTCATGGAAGAGCATACACCGCTCACCAGCATTCTACATCCAACCATGTCCTAGGTAATCCTTTCGAGTTACTATTCATCCTTTTCATGTCTGCTTCCAATTCTCGACTCAATGTGTCCTTCGGTCTTCTTTCCCATCGCGATTTCATATTAGCATTTACCTCGTGATATAGTTTGACGATTTTCATAATGTATGCCCCATAAACTTCTAGCGTCTTTTCCTAATTTCCTCTTCAGTTGTACTCTTTTGACGATGATTGTTGTAGTTCTCGAAGTTTCAACTCCGGACAGTAGAACTGACTGTCTTGACGTGATTATTGAAGATTGCGACCTTGATATTGATTGACAGTTGTTTTGAGTTGCATGTGTTTTTTAACTGTAGGAATACTCTCATAGCTTTGCCAATCCTCGCCTTCACTTCTGCATCACATCCTCCTTCTTCATCGATGATGCCGCCGACTAGACACGTGAATCTTCCCACCTCTTCCAGAGATTCTCCATCAAGTGTGACTGGGCTGGTGTTCTCCTTGTTGTATTTGAGTGTGTTCCTTTCTCCCTTGTGTATGTTCAGGTATACTACTGCAGAGGTTGCTACTACACTAGTTGTCTTCATCTGCATTTGTTCGTGTGTATGGGATAGGGAGGCTAGGTGACCTGTGAAGTCTAAATCGTCTAGTTGATTCCGAGTTGTTCATTGTATTCCGTGCTCCTCTTCAGATACTGAAGTCTTCACAATTCATTCAACCACCAGAAGAAAGAGAGACAGAGTGGGCAGCCTTGTCTGACTCCGGTCCTCACTTGGAATTCGTCAGTCATCTGTCCTCCACTCATGACCCTGCATTTTATCCCATCGTATAAATTGCAAATGATTATGACGGCTTTTTCACGTACACCACAGTTTTGAGGAAGGCTCCATAATATTCTCCTAATTACGATGTCAAACGCTTCCTTGTAGTCAAGAAATTTGGTGTATAGTTATGAATTCTGTTCAATTGATTGCTCAACAATAACACTAGATAAAATTCATTATGATCCCGTTCTTCTCTGTTTTAAATGATGCTTTGACGATTCTGGATCTGTGAGACTCCCATCCTGTGAATGCTTTTCACGCTTCTTTGGACAGCATCGGTGTAACTCCATGTGTGTGCGCAGCATTTCCTTCTATGTGAGTACGAAGCATCTCTTCCGAATTTATCCTTTTCTGTCCAGTTAGGTTCAATGTGTTTCACTTATTCCGAGCATCGCCGAATTGTATCTCCTCATTCCCGTAACTATTTGATTAACCCTCCTAGCCTGATACATTGTCCGGATATTTCACCTAACTATATTAATTTTTGCTCTGGTTGTTAGAAGGGGTATTGTCCTTATGAATTTCGAAGAATCTCGACTTTCATAATGAGGCGTCATAATTCTTCCGAAAGAAGATCGTTCAACTTGTAGGGCAGAGTTTAAATGGTTTAAATTGTTCATTCTGATTAACTATTTTTCTTTAGTAAGGTTTTCTACTACGGAATAGGGTTGCCGATCCCATGCCAAACCCTCCTCCTTTATGTGGGCTTGGGACCCACAATAACCCGAGAAGAGCTGCAGACTGAACTTTTTACTAAACTGTATCCGTACTGAGAACTCCAATAAACCATTACTTAGTACCATCTTTTTTCTTGTAATCTCGGTTGGAATAATCAAGAAAATGCATTTCAAACTATATTATCTACACTTGATTTATTTGAGGCAAGCTAAATGAGTGGAAATATAAAATAACACATACTGAGTAACTTAGTGAATGAATGAATGCATGAGTGAGTGAGTGAGCAAGTGACTGAAACCGTCACAAACGATAAAGTTGAATTTATATTGAAAAAAACTTAGATGAATGCTCCTGTTTCTATGACGAAACTATTTATGTATTTAAAACTTAGTTTTATACGCTTACACTTTCCTTAGTTCTATTCTTATCAATGTATGTACATATTTCAGTTATATAATATCTGTTATTAATTTTGTATGCCAGTATTTCAGATGTGAAAGAACATACTGATATTCATGAAGATTATGGATTTTCTGGATGCTTAAATAAAATGATTATTAATGCTGGTTCACCAATGAAACAGTTTAATTTAGATCTTTTGGAAGCTATAAATACAAAATTAGCTTGGTTAGGAATTGAACCTAACCCATCAACAGGTCATAGTGAAGCACCATTATGTTCATCATCAATTAAAGCATTATCATCAATTACAAATGATATATCTAATAGTGATATCATTGAAAATATTCCACCTTTACTACAATCAGATCAAGTTCAAAGACATGATAATGTAATTAATCAAAACGTCCAAACATTATCTAGTCACATTCAAACTAAAAAATGTGAAAATTATGGAATTGGATCAATTGGATCAGATGGAAAATACACGTGTATCTGTCAGCCTGGATGGCAAGGTGATGTATGTGAACAGGGTAGGTATCTTTTTCATTGGGGCTGTTATTTAACATAAGTATGGAATGTGAATAATTACATTCCAACCAGGCTGCCTCAAGGTAAAAAAAACCATTTTCAGATGTGAAAATCAAGTATTCTTCTCCAAGAGAAATCAGTCAGTCCGTTACCTATAAGCTCTTTGAACGAATGCTTTTATTATAGTCAGCGTTAAGATTTGGAAAAGCAGGTACCTTGATAAATGTCCCCTCTAAAACTCAACCACTGTAACTAATGGGTAAATACATACTATCGTATTCAAGTGAACAAGAGATGAAGGCAATCTAACGAATAACTTTTTGAAGTTTGAAGCGATTTGTTATGAATTTGGTGTTCGATGGGAATATATATTTGATTAACGAGTTGCGAGCAGAAACAGTCAGTCAGTAACAACGTAGAACTTCGTACGTACGTACATACATCAGTTCGAGTTGCCACACCACATTAGCACAGAGATGCCGTGGTCGATTCAAATCCCGTAGTGGTAGAGGTAGTAAGAGTATAAGCAGTAATCGGGAAGATTAGTGTTTGGAGATGTTACTTAAAGAGTATAATACAGTTAAATAAATTTGGGAAGAAAAAAAGAGAGACAAGGAGGAATCAGGAGATTAGAATTTGGGAGAACACAAAGAGTGGATGCACCTACGCCATTGCAAACGATTTTCAGACATGTCATTCAGGGTCTCTAACCATCGGTTGCTGTCATCTCGCAGTCCCCAACCACGTAGTCTACACCTACCGACATGACTCAGTCCACTTGTCAGTGACTTCATGGACTTGTGTCATGTTTTGGTCTGGCCACCCCTAGCTTTCTTCCTACCTACTCCTATGCCACTGAACATCGCACATCGAGGCAGTCGGTCGTTGGGCATACGTAACACGTGTCCCAGCCATCTCAACTGATGAAGTTTCACTACTTCATCAATTGATTTGCCATCCTTATCTAGTACCCGTTTCCTAACAACTGTGTTACTTACTCGATGGTCCCATGATATACGAGCAATGTTTCGAAGACACCTATGATCGAATACTAGTAACCTACGAATATCCTCTACTCTTACCGGCCATGTTTCACTGCCATAAAGTAGGACGGAATGAACTGCTGCGCAGTAAACCCGTCCTTTGCGAGCAGAAACAAATGACCGGTAATAGTGTTAGTCAAACACAATGAGTAAAAGCTTAGATTATATAATGAGATGAAACCTATAAGAACAATGTGATATGTTCGAGCAATTCATTCCGAAGAAATTGACTACACACTGACATATTAAGATATCAATATGAGAAATTTAAAATTTAAACTGCATGAATAGAAACTTCTTAGCAATTAGAATATCATAGAAAAATAACTTCATTCACACTATTCTTGAGATAAAAAGAATTCAAATCAAAGAATGACAGAAGTGAGAACTAACCTAGAATACATAAGCTGGGGTTGAATATACATATAATTAAGGCTTCGATTAATCTAAGTATTCGTCTTAGACATGTGCTACACAACACTACAAAGACTGTTTTGAGATTAGTACTTACTTACACCTATTACCCCACGTGGAGGAGTTTAGGCCGCCCACCAGTTCTACTGCCTATTTCAACAATTTTTTTAAAATTATGTTCATTACTTCAGTTACTAATATTGGTATTATTCATGACCTATTTATTTCTTACTCCTTTAATCCTTTTTTGAAATTTAATAGATACTACTCATTTTTTGTCTTAATTTAGATAAATATAATTGTGTTTTTTTACACTTTTAGCGGTAACTATTATACCACAGTTTTCTGGAAATGGATTTATTCGTTTAGCTGGTCCAACTGGAAAACATGCAATAAAACGCAGAAAGTTACATATTGAATTAATTTTCTTAGTTACACAACCATCAGGTGAGAAAATATATACATAATTCATTGTAAATTACCCATAGAAAAAACGTGAAGTAACTTCAGTTGTATCATTATTTTGAAGTCAAATTTACTACTATTACAATGATATTACCTATCTTTATTTTAGTCAATGTTCATTCTAGTATTTTCTTAATTGAATGATTTCATAATTATAGGCAGTTGTCATGACAAAATGTAACTTAAGAGCTTGAATATCCACTTGATGGTCTAATAATAAGACATTCTCCTATGAAGAATGAAGTAAATATGGTTCATTTCTGATGGGATAATGAGTAAGCGGCATATCAAGACGATATAAATATCCATTTCTCCCTGTTTACAATGATTGTTCTATATTCGATCACTGATGAAATTATCAATGCGTACTGCCAAGAAATTCCATACCAGAACAACCAGATAGTCAATACTACTTGTTTTGTTCACCAGTATCTTAACAGAAGTCAATATTCGGAAAATTTAAGTATTAACTAGCATCTACCTTAACAACTTACCTTAATAAGGTTTGGATTATTTATTTAGTTATTTTAACACATAGATATTTGTTCAAGGAGGCACCAAATACATATACGCCACACAAATCTAATTTGATATGTGTGAGGGCTGTGATACTTCCTTGATGCCCAAACCGAAGCAGGTGGTTTGTACAATTGTTGCTATTATGCTAACTAAGCCTTCTATAGCAATTATCCTTATCAGAAACTAAATGGAGCACAACGGAAAAAATAGTTTTGTTAAATGTCAAACTCATGCCAAACCGACTTTGTTTACTTAGACAACGAATTCGACTTTACAGTTTAAAATAATTCCTACTTTTTAAGGCCTTCAAACCAACCAACAGAGTGAAAATCATTTGAGATAAGTTTTAAAAGAGATTCCTTAAGTGTTGTAATGAGAAAAATTTCTAATATAAACCTAGTTCTCAATAAACACAAATACTTACAGCTAGTATCGAAGACCAATCATATTTCTATATGGACTGAATAAAGTCGGATAATTTTGACCACTCAATTTTTACTCATTATGAAACCTAGATTCATGAATTTCATCTTGGAAAAAGTTGTGAGATTAGGTAATTTCAAACCACAAATTACTTACTGATTTGTGTACTTTAATTTTAAGCAACTCTTCAGTATTACACCAAGCTTTACACGAAAAGTAACTTGTAAATAAAAGTTTTATTGTGTCCTCATAGTAATTCTTATAAATGATTCGATCCGTAGTGTCGGTTTCTATGTTAAGCCCATATAACTTATTCTAGATTCTGAACAGGATAATTCATTCATTCTTCTTGAATCACGTTTTGACCTTGTTCATTATTCACTTGTCAACCATGACTTTTTATGTAAAGGTATGTGTGTACACTTTTTATCCTATTCATCACATGTCTGTAGTTTATTTTTGTGTGACTATAAATAATGATTGAATGGAGTTAGTCCACATGCCTCCTACGCTGCTCACCGCCTCGTTTCGCTCCCTCTTCTTCGCTTCCTTTGCTATATCTCTCTGATTATCTGTTCCGATCAACGATTGTACAAAATACGTGTATTGAGAAATCCATTCTTGTATTTGACTAAGTCGATAATTATATACGACAGCAATCATTTATACGATCTAACGGAAGTCAGATCCTGGGCCCCACAAATCACTTACAGATCGTTTTACCCCAAATGTTTTTAAAACAGAATTTTTATTATTTTATGTGCTATCTAGATCTTCTAGTCAACTTTGTGATTTTTTTTTTAAAAATTTCCCAAGGTTTACTACTTTTAATTCCACCTAAATCTCCTCAACATGGTCCATTTATAGCAGTTTATTTAGATGAACAGAATTATTTAAATGTTGTCTGTCGAACTGGTACTGGTAAAGGAAAATTAGTCAATGAAAATATTATCCAATTAAGATATAATAAACCAGTATCATTAAATCAATGGAATACTTTAATTATTGATAAATTGCAAAAAATACTACGTGTTAAAATGAATAGGAATAGAAGACAACGTGTATCACTTGTGAGTACTTTTTCTTGATCTTTGAAAATATTGTTGATATTTTATTGAATCGTTTTATTTTTTGTATGTTACTGTGTAATTATACTGTTGTTACAGTGTAATGAACGAATACATATGCGGGGACAACCAAAATCATTTTTGCATAAAATTACAGAATCTTTTGGTAAACCTATGAGAACCATTCATTGAACACTTCATACATAAAATTTCATTTGTGCTTTACACTCTATATGATTCTTCCAAGTCAAAATTTATTTCTATTTTTGTTTCTGTCTCCTCTTCAACTTGATCTCCTTAGTCTTATGCTGTCAGGGTTTCCGATTCCGATTGGTGTTATATACTACTTATGTCTGTCGATATAAGCAGCATACACCACAAAAACAATCATTTTAATCATCTTCCTATATTCACTAAATCTAATGTTATTGTTCGTACTACGTAATCTAGTGTTATAATCATTCTATTACGTCATCTTGATTATTTGTGTTCACATTTCCTCACGGAATTAGTACTTTAACAATTGTTCAGCTTGATAATAAATTCGTTGAAAAGAGATCACTTCGCTGAACTTCGTGTTTTTTAACGAACTGACGAGTAATTTTAATAATGTCAATAAACTCTGCACAGTTGTGTATACTCCTGAGCATATCAGTCACATCAGTACTGTTGGACGAAATTCATGGAACGATAATCAACGAAGTGAAAATACAAACATAGAATACGGTAGAAAACTGAATGCAAACAGAGAAATAGTTAAAATTACGCAAACATAAAATGAACACAAATTAAAATCACATCTAAGATTAAGATGAAGAAGGTATTGAATTAATTCATTCTCTTATTAGAGAGACGATTTCGGAACCATGTTCACAAAAGAGCCCTCACCTAAACATTACTATTATTTTATAAATCCAGACAAGATGACATCTCATTCTGAAAGACGACCTTGAATAAAAGCTAAACGCTGCATTTATCATTCGAACGAATGTACCATTTAGAAAAATCTAATTGAATATGTAATTTTTCCACACATTGGCTATTGCAGATTGAATTAAATAAAAAATTAATTTTCTCACTTCCACGAAGATCGAAGTTTGATACTTTAATAAAGAATTTTCATTAAAAGTCAATATCTATTCTCCGAAAAGAAAGCGTATTATAAATCCTATGTAGCTATCTAACTGAAACTTAATTCAATGGTGAACGCAAAGAAATTTCTTACAATCAAACTTTTGTCATTCCCCTCTGCATATATCTCTTGACTCAGTCTCGGACTTCCACTCGAGATCAGTCTCGGACTATTCAGAAAACAAAAGAACGTCAGTCGTTTATTGCCCGTTCCAACCAATAATAATAAGCGAGACATTGCACATGTATACCTTTTTAACATGACCTTGAAAATCCACTTTTCAGGTTCCAAGTTATGGAGATCGGATTCCAAAGATACGTGTGCAGTTTAAAAATCCAAAAGTGTCAACTGCTATCAAACTTCTTTTTTTGAAAATCAGAAACCACCACACTAATTTTTTTAAAAAAATAATAAATTACCATTTTCTATTTATCTGATTTGTGTAATTTAGATCCCATCACAATTTATTCACCTACAAAATCAGCTTCTAAAAGAGGTATGTTGTTAAACTCAATGTATTTTATATTATTAAATTAAATTATTCTCATATGAATTTTTTTTTATCCTGACAGTATGTTGTAATGGGTACATGTAGTTTGTCTTTCGATAAATACTTTGTATTTATTAGGCTATATATATAACAAGATTGGGTATATTAGCTATAAAACCTAAACCTATTTTCGTGAACACTCCCTGCACTGACTTTTTTCTCAATGAGACTTCTGAAATTGTGTAGACTATGTTTTCGTAGAAGTTAAGAATTTACTTCTTCTAGTATTGAAATTTCTAAATTAGTTGATATAAATCACGAAACGTTTATTCTTTCTCTGAACAACTTCCAGTTTAGAAAATGTAGAATCCCTAAAAGAATATTTCTAAACTACGAAATTCTTTTTCATCATTAGAAGGCTATCCTCAAAGTAGTTGATTAATCTTCTCATCTCAATAATGAATACTTACTTACTTACTTACGCCTGTTACTCCCAATGGAGCATAGGCCGCCAACCAGCATTTTCCAACCCACTCTGTCCTGGGCCTTCTTTTTTAGTTCCATCCAATTCTTGTTCATTTTTCTCATGTCTATTTCCATTTCCCGGCGTAATGAGTTCTTTGGTCTTCCTCTCCTCCTGTGGCCTTGAGGATTCCATGTGAGGGCTTGTCTTGTGACGCAGTCGGGTGCTTTCCTCAATCTGTGTCCTATCCACTTCCAGCGCTTCTTCCTGATTTCTTCCTCCGCTGGGATCTGGTTTTTTCTCTCCCACAGTAGGTTGTTACTGATAGTGTCCGGCCAACGGATCTGAAGTATTTTGCGTAGACAACTGTTAATAAACACCTGTATTTTTTGGACGATTGCTTTCGTAGTTCTCCAGGTTTCCGCCCCATACAGTAGAACTGTCTTGGCATTTGTATTGAAAATCCTGACCTTGGTGAATACAGACGTAAATAAAGGTTAATGTTCTTTTAGTATTGTTGTTGTTGCTCCATGTTGCATTAGTTCTCCTAAGCCACATACTAGAATACTGTCATTTATATTTCTAAATATTAGATTAATACCAAATATCATTGATTTAGAAAAGCATAAATCGATTAACATTTGTTTATATATGAGCCAGGTTTATAAATGAACATCAGAATGGAACGACAAATAATGCTTACTTTACAAAACAATACACTTGTAAATATCTATAGTCCTGTGAATTACACTGTAATGAATAATTTAGCACCTTATTACTGACCACAATTACGGTAGGATTGATGTAAGCGTTATGGAGGACTACCCAATATATGCGAAATTATGTTATAAATTTCCGTACCAACCATATTCATATGCTATTATTAATATTATTCTTTTTTTAACTCAATCTATTTAGTTACAATAAAAACTTCTTATTAATGAGAAAATGAGTTCATGTAACTATTCTGTTTAATATAAGCAGAAATGCATGATGACTAACAATGGAATCCAGGATGCGCGTTTCGTCCTGTTCTGAGACTCGTCAGTTGGATCTATCTGCATCCCAGAGTTATTCACTCTAGGACTCGAACCTAGTATCGTCTGCTTTAAATCCACACAGAATGCATATATACCAATAAGAGACTAATCAATCTCAGTCTTAAATATCAATGAGAAGATTCAAACAATCACTTCATTTAATTACTCAAATTATTATCTTCAATTTCTTTACCAAAAAAAATTCAACAGCAGTGATAACCTAGTTAATGTTTAAATAATTCTTTCATCAGGTTCTACAACTATAAATCCAAATTAATAATCCATAAAATTGACCAGATTTGAAGGCAGAGTACATCATTTAGAAATTGTAATATATGAATCAGGAATTGTTTGTTATATAAAATAAAATCGTTAATGTTGGGGCTGACTAATATGAAGTTGTTAACTTGAATCATTTTAAAAGTGAAATGAAATTGTGTGATAAATGATCAGAATAAATATGGTCAACATGGGGTGAGAGAGAAAATAATGGGGAGTCTCATACTAGGAAGAAACGGCCGTCCAGTGCTTCCACGTTTTCAATGGTGGTCTAGCTTCAACTGACTCATGATTTCAACCTGTGAAATTTCTTAAACTCTCCACAAAACCCATTCTGATAATGGGATAAAAATTGGAAATTACGTAATATGTAGGTCAGATACAGTAGATTTAGGGATGGATATTGAATAAATTCCTCGAAAAAAGGTTATCAAGTGTAAAGATAATAATAATAAGTTTGGGACATAAAATGAACCACAACTGATTGATCACTGGGTGGCGATCAATGTCATGCTTGTCTAGTCCTTATTAGTGCAGATCGGATGCTATCGATCATGTTACAATGTGGCCACCAGTCTAGGTGACTCGACACTGCGTGCACTATACATTGAGATTAGACGGTGGTTGGAGGTAGTCGACAGGAAACCCTGAACCCGGGTTTCGTGCTACTTGGCACTCGTCAGCAAGGTGTACCTGTAATCTTGAGGGAACTGGTGCTCCCTGGTGGATTTGATCTCGTGTCACCCAGCTTCACAGTCAGAGACGTTACCACTGAGCTATCCAAGCCGCGACTGACCTCTCGTAGGACTGAGATGTAATCACAATTGTTTGATCACTGGATGGTGATCAATGTCATGCGTGTCTAGTCCCTATTAGTGTATGATTCAGGGTTTCCTGTCGACTACCTCCAACCACCATCTAATCTCAACATAAAATGAACATTAATCAGATTACGTCACCATATTATAAAATTGATTATTAACTAGTTGGCCCCAAAGTTGATCAGGGTAAAAGGAATGGCTGAACATACTTCTTTTAGATGCAAAGCTCTGGCTTTTTGATCCGAATAGCAATTGCTTCAGCCATCTGTAGGATTCAGAGTCTAACGGAATTAGGTAGACTGCTGTTAACACGATAGATTATTACAGAAGATTGCTCCATGTTGTCTGTATGTCCTGTTTGAACTAGCTGGTCTAAGATGGAGCTGTTAACAGTTTTGACTACACCTTTGCTTAACCTGAAAAGAATATTCTTCATTCATACCATAGTGTTTTATTATAATGGGAATTTTTCAGCGATTAGATTCTTTCATCTTTTAAATATACATTAATATTTATTCTATTTTATATGATAATCAGTATTAAAACTGTCCTTAGGTTTATTCATTTGTTTTTATAATGAACTCATTGTTTATTTGTTCTAAATCGTTCTTTCTTATCTTAATTTGATTCAAATTCCAGTTCATTATAAAATTAATAATTAGTTGTTTTTTCATTTTATTGACCCATTGTTTTGTTTTTTTTCTCTTTTTTTCTTTCTTTTTTTCTTTTTTTGTTGTTGGTTTGTTATTGTCATTAGTTAACTAATTTCGATTTATCTTCAAGTCCAATCTATCTTGGTGGATATAATTTTTATGATCAAACAACTTTAAATTATATACCGATTAGAAATGGTTTACATGGAACAATTCAAAGAGTTAGTTTAATTTAATTAATCAATTGTATATGGTTATGAATATTTAAAGAAGAAAAAAACGTTTTAATTATTTTTTTTCATTGTAGGATTTCCATTGTGATCAAATCAAGATCATCTCGAGGAATAACTTCTTTTGAAATTCAGAATATGTACTTTTTTTCTATTTTCAAAATGTAAACGCATCAGATCTATTTAGTATTAAATAAAAAGGATTTTTCAGTATAAGATTGTGGAGATTGTTGAGATTTGATTAAGATCATGAATTGATCAATGTTAGATCACTATTGAAACATCTGGAAGCATTGGAGGGTATTTCATCTAGTCCTTAATAATCTCCACAACTCTACACTGATAATTATCATGTTCTAACTGATGAATAGCTTCGAGAGGTGATTCTTAGAGTTCTAGTGAAAAGCCGTGACCAGTGGTGCAAATCAGTGCCAGGTATGAGACAGTTACCCACCGAAAACAATGGAAGATGGTTGCGTAACATCGTGAGTTATTTGAAGTTAGACATTAACACCGTTGGATACCGGCTCAGTGGACTAGAGGTTAGGCATTCGAACGGGAGACCGAAGGTACTGGGTTCGAATCTCACATGCAGGATCGTGAATGAACACGATTGAGGAATCCCATACTAAAACGAAACAGCCATCCAGTGCTTCCAGGTTTTCAATGGTGATCTAATATTGATCGATTCATGATTTCAATCAAAAAAGAGGACTTAGGTGACTCAAACTGTTTTGAAAACTGAATAACTATGAATAAAATTACATCAAAGAGAAGAAAATCATATGTGTACCAAACTTTTGAATTTTAATCAATATTATATTACCACTACTAAGATCTTTTCAAGGAGTAAAGTGAAAAATTATATAAAGTGATTAGTTTTCTTCAATTGCTAATTGACACATCACCAGAAGTCAAATTTTACTGGATGAAAGTTTCAATAGTAACTTAATTACTGTTTCAAGCATAACACTGTCTCCTCATGTCGATTATATCACCATTAAAACCTTTTACCTAAAATCTCCTATTTTCTGTCTTTTGATAAAAACAGATTATTTAAAAGTACATCATTTCATTTCACTAAATCAGTTATCATTATAACAAGTAAATAGGTTTTACATGCTTATGTTTTTAATGAACATACTATACAGAAATCCATTAAAGATTCACAATTCAAATATGTAATTCAGATAACCTACTAATGACGATACTACTGTTATTGTTTTATCTTCGAATAGATAATGACTTTAATCCTTATAGTCGAGAGACAAATACCAACAAGGTATTACTGAATATTTGAGTTTTATGAAATTAGGTTTTATTAGACTGTATACAGTAAAGCATTTTATCTAATTGTTTATTAAGGAATAATCAAAGGATTTCTTCAGACAGTCAACTAACCGGGATATAGAGACGAATAAATCGGAAATAAGACAATCCCTGTTGACTCTCTGGGTAACACTAAAAAAACTGATCAATTTTAGTAATTACCAGACTGAATGTTATATAGGAGGTACTCTTATTCAGTGCGTTAATAGTTTTGGATTGGTGAACAAAAGTCTGGTAACCGCTCATCTAGGAAAAATAATAGTGAGGGGAAAATTATTTGAGAATCATATTACTTTCGATTCATATTCCTTCTAAAATATATAACTTTAATAAGAAGTTTTTCCTTCCTTTTTATTTAAAGTAATCTCTCAACTGAATCACATCATTATCGACAGTGAGAGTAATAACCATTCTTGTGCCATACAAATTCCTGAAAACATTAGGATTTCTAGTCATTCAGCACTCATATAAGTAGTACTTATACTGACATTTGGCCAACTTCTAGTTGGTCTTCAAATAAATATTCTACAAACTATGATGCATTCTTTACAGGAGTTTCCGTACAACTAGAAACAGATCCAAATACGTACAATTTTCTTCTTGTAACCAGGATCTCTACTTATAAACATCATGTACATTTAGATTAGATCGAACTTATGTGATAGATTCCAGATTTTAAAGCCTATATAATTGTTGGCTTAAAATGCAATTAAAATATCCTTTAAGGTAGTCATTTTGATGAAGCTTAATCCAGCATATTTTAAGGATAAACTTGTTGTTGAACTTGTCTCATATCTCGTTTCTTTTAATATTTGTAGTTATTTTAAAATGTAAAGGAAATTTAGTATTTTTTTTAAGTCCGAAAGGTATGGGAAATATGTCGAATTTCGTTGAAATCATGAATCAACTAAAGTTAGATCACTGTTAAGAACGTGGAATCACTAGATGGCCGTTTCATTCTAGTATGGAATTCCTTGGCAGTGCTCATCCACGATGCCACACGAATAACTCGAACCCAGAGCCTTCGATTTCACTCGAACGCTTAACTTTTAAACCACTAGGCCGGTATTCAGCGGCGGAAGTCAGATATTAACACCATAACATGCCGGTTCAGTAGTCTAGTAGTTAAGAGTTCGAGCGAAATCGAAGGCTCTGGGTTCGAGTTACACCTGTGGCATCGTGGATGAGCACTGCCAAGGAGTTCCATACTAGAATGAAACGGCCATCCAGTGATTCCACGTTCTCAACAGTGGTCCAACGTTAAATGGTTCATGATTTAATGGAATTCAACAATCTTCACAACCCCATACTGAAAACGTACCGATTTGTGTACTGCATAGACTTATGTGGCTATCAGTCATTGTAATGAGTGAATCAGTGTGGTGATCAGTCTTGTCGTAAGTCGTTGAGTGGGTTTATATTAGACCAAACAATTAATGAGATGGGACACAAACTTGCAAGCAATCACAGGTATACAAACTGTACGTGAATAATAACTTGTAAACAAGTATAGCTTCAACTGACTCATGATTTCAATCTGTGAAGTATAGAATAATTAATAGGATTAAAATGGCTCATTTAATTGTCAAATGAGAATCCCACTTTGAACCTGTTCAAAATAACTTAAACTTACAAAGTTTTATGCTGATTATGTTCCAGGCAAGCGATATGAACCTGTTACATCAGTTTACTAGAATTATTCTCGTGAACTGTCTTCAATGTTTTTTCTTTGCTTTTCTTAATGAATCATAGATTAACATAAATGAAGCAGAAGTTGTACTAGCAGGTCCATCTCCTGCAGATATGATGAATACACCGGAGGAACAAGGTAAATTACCACATTTATTCGAAAAATGGGCAAATGTATCTCAATGGCAAGGTTTACCATGTGGTCCACAATATTCACCATGCCAATTGGATCGACCAGATAGTATATGTCGTCCAAATATTGAACATGCCACATGTGCTTGTACAACACCATTACAATTGATGCATCTTATGAAAGGACGATTAGATGAAGAAACTAATGAAGTTGAACAACAAGCTTGTTTACAACGAAAAGTAAGTTGTTTATTTGGTAATTATTTTATAATATAAAAGAACTTATCCCAATGTTAGAGATTTAGATAAAGTTTATGGTTATAACACATGTTGTTTGCTTGGAACTACTGAACTGATAAGTACTCTCATGAATTTTTACAGCATTGGTACACTTCATATTTGAATTTTCCGATATCTATAGATAAACAGCATTTATTTCAAGATTTGTTATCTCCACTAATTCCCAACCTTTAAAACACGATACTATATACTGGAGACATTTTCTTAGTTGGAAAACAGGACAATGAATACCTTACGACAAATGAATTCAGTATACTTACTAATAAGAATTATAGAGTAAGAAATTAGTAATTCTCAGCTCACTAGCTTATAGATGTGTTTTACAGGAAAATTGATTGGTGGAAACTATTTTTAATTCATTAATTTTTCTTCATTGTATTGTTTTGTTCTGTTTCCTACTTCTTAGAAATATTTATCGAATATAAGCAAAGATGGATAGTGTCTAGCCGTGGAATTCAGAACGCGTGTTTCATCTTATTTGGGACTCGTCAGCTGGATGTGTTTGCATCTCAGAGTTGATGTTCACTGTGGGACTCGAACACATTACCATTTGCTCCAAACGCCATAACATTTTCCACTTAGCTACGAGTCCCGAATAGGACGAAGTGCGCTTCCTGGATTCCACTGATAGCCACTATCCATTTTTGCTTAAAAAAAAACTTGTGACCTAAGGCAGTTCCTATGCAATCCACACAAGATGCACATATGCCAACAAGTGACTGATCAATCGCAGTCCTAAATAACAATGGGAAGATACAAGTACACAACATCAAGTGAATTTATTTATCCAATACTTTGTATAAATATGTAGAAAACTGTCTTTAGAATAGTTGCTTTATCCTACTGTTGTTAATATAAACTACGATTAAAGGACAAACATTTGAATTTTCAAAACAATCGTCTATCATTACTGTTTTATCATAAATTTAATGACCATCTGTCTTTACTTATAATATATCCTTTGTAAGAATAAAGTGTGAAAATTGTCCTTAGAAATGTGAAACAAAATATCGTAGATCATATATACCTTATATAGTATTTAGTGAACGAAAAAATTTCCAGCTTTTCAATAGCCTATGTATGCTCGTAAGCTTATATATATAAAGCGATTGGAAAAAATCCCAGGAAGATTATCAGTTCTGAGATGCTGGTATATCCAGCTGACGAGTCCTAAACAGGGAGAAACATGTTTCCTATATTTTACAGTTGCCTATAATTCATTTCTTCTATGAGATTTTTAACAAAATGGTTATAACGAGGAAATCCTCACTGAACTCACATTTTTAGCTGATAATGATCAAACAAATTCCATTTGAGCGTATCAACGATTATATATATATATATATATATATATATATATATATATATATATATACTTTCTCTGGGATATCTGTTGAATTCAAACTGGTTATCATAATCAACTGGCATGGTTTTAACTGTTCATGGCTCACACTAAAGAATCTACTAAATCTTACGTTGACATTGCATATTTATTCCTACATGACTTAAATGCCTAATCATGTTACGAAATTTTAGGCCTATAGAGAATACTTCTGATTGAGTACAGTCTAGGATGACAGTAGAAAAATCACAATCCACTGGAAAGACATAAAGCATAGATATTTTCAGTACAGTCAAAATTAACATCGACTTGATCAAGTCAATATCCTGTTATTTCAGTCGAGCTGATTCTATGTGAGACTTATTTGTGTGTGTTAGTGGATAAGGAAAATGTGATATCTGTAATTTTGAAGAGTAAGGTTAATAATATTTGTATATTTATTAGTGATATGGAATGTGAACAGGATTGAATGTGTGGATATTTGTTAAAATGGTTCATGTTGGATGAATCATTAGGCTTTTCTTTATATGGAGCATAGTAGAGTTTAGCAAGATATAAAAGTCTACATATACTCGTCTTTCTTTATAATCAGAAAATCCTTTATTGAATTATTTAGTTATGATTAGTTTTGATTTGATGATTAATAAAAATAACATGTACTGGTATTTCTGGTTTGATTTGCAGATTTTCTAGTTCCATGAAACTGTTTGTACATCTTTATGTGTAGCTTAAATGTTCCTTGGCACAAGTCGTGATTTTACGAAAAGACTCTCCAATATAGAATGCATCACGATCTTTGCATACTAGTTTGTGGATACTTTTTAGCTTAAGATGAGAACTATAATGTTATGCCGATTGAGCTGGATGATTCAGTTATCTTTCTACGTGTAATAGCGGTGTTTCAATGTGTCTTCACTCTTTTGAACAGAGTTTGTATGTAGTTTAACATATACGTCAATGCTATTGTAATTGAGTATTTAGTCGGAATAATTTTTTCCGTATCGGTTCCGGTGATAAATACATCCAAGAACTGTAGTTTGTTGCCCAATTTCAATTTTTATACGAACTTTATTTCATTGAAGTTACTATTGATCAAATTGTAAGTATATTTCAGCTAAACCTTGATGACGACGAATATGTCGTCTAAATAGCACATCCAATTGTTTGGTTTGATCATAAGTATGGTTAGAGCTTCCAGCTTTCCTTTTACTGTTTATGCAATAAATTTAGATATCGATTATCTTATTGGAGTTACATTAAACTCAAACAAAACGATACATCCAAAACATAAAACTCCTTATTGTCTACAAGTGAATCTATCGACCGTTAAATTGACTTTATTTTAACTAATGATCAGTAATGAAATCCAGCATGAATTCGTTGCCTTATTTTTTATTTATTAACTGGACGTTACTGTACACTGAAACCTTTAGAATAAATAATGTCTTATTAGGATCCTCTGCTTGAATCATTTAGAGAATACACTTAGTAGGATCCTGGTTCAATATATGATTGTGTGAGCATACTGGTTTCTAGATCGTGATCACTGTCACTTAATCGGATTAAAACGTTCAACTTTCTAAAATGTTGGGTTGCTTTTCCATAATGTAAGTGTATCTTACCTTTTTTGCCAATACTAGATGGAACTATCTAGGTTAAATTCGGCATTATCGTCCAGAAATGACGGTCAGTTACAATACGATGGTCCAAATCGTGCACCTTCAAGAGAAATATACAATGAACCAGATGAAGAACTGCCACCAGTTGATCCAGCAAGAGAGATTTTAATCAACTTCGGTGGTTTAACAGTTTATAAATATCGTGGACTTATAAGATTCACGTAAGTATCTATTTTACCCATAGTCATTTATTATAACTCGACACCTAAGTAGATAATTTTCGGTTATTTGAAGAGATATAAGGAAGAAAGAATTGGACAGATTTATTAATATCACGAACCGACCTAGGTTAGACAACATGTGATCTGTTCACTATAAACTAGCGTCAGGGAGAAATCCCCGGGGTTCAGTGGGAATCCATGACCAGTGATCTGAACGTTAAATGTTTGAGGGCAAGATCGAAGATATAAAAAATAAAATATGAATGGATTTACTATCTAATTGTGTCTATAAAATAAAATGTTCAAATTGTGACTCAATATTTATCAGAAAAGCTTCTCCAGGGATCAATATGTTTTTTGTTCATCGAGGAACTCAGCAGAACTTAGGAAATGTTCGGCCATAGGTCTACAGGCTGTACTACTAGGCAATAAGATTAAATTTAACAATATTAAAATCGTTCAGCAAAATTTTAAAAGACATAGAGAATAGCTCATGAACAGTACACTTCACATTAAATGGAATTTGAATTGTCTGAAAAGGAATAAGAGGATAAAATGAAATTCAACGTGACTTTAGCATGATGCTCTCACAGATCGACAGTGTGAACATAAATGTGAGAAGAATTTCTCATCACATAAATATATTCTGACTTGAGAACTTATACGCCTATTGAATCAGACAATGTAGCCAGATCTCTCTTTCAACTCGGATACGAGAACATGTCTCAGTGTGATTCTACATTGGTGAGAGGAAAGCAGTTTGGAGTTCCATACTTGAACATCTAATCGACTGTAATCATTCTACTGATCCACAGTTTGATTTTAAGGTTGTAGATACGATTCGTTCAAACCTACATAGAGTTCTTTGTATACAACTCCTAGAAATAGCCAAAGCTCTTACTATTCATGAGGTCAAGCCAGAACTATACGTACAAAAGAAGTACGTCCTATCGTTATTGTTACCTTGGTCTTTATCGTTATTATTATTACTGCATTTCTTCATTAACTTATGTCTCATATTCTCATTATTTTATTCATAATTGCTCATGATATAACTTTATTTATTTATTTATACCTCTATGACCTTTAATTATTGTAACAAAGACATTTTAATCATACAACATTCCAGTTATAATTCATTATTAACTTAATAAGGCCATTATTATTAGTAGTATTAGGAAATCTAGTATTATAATCTTTGTATATGCATCACCTTGGTTATCGCTTGTTCACATTTCCTCACGGAACTAGTACTTTAACAATCTACATGCGTTTGCTATCCATATTAATCTATTTCCTCAATAACATAGGATTAATCGTAGAGATAAACCTTGACCAATTTACCACATATATGCTAAGATATTTATAAATTCGTGTTTATTAATACTTTGACAAAGGTAGTTGCACTGGATGACGATATGTCAAAGAGATGGTAACTCACTGATGACACTGGTGGACGGTGGTGCAACTTCGTGGTTTAGTTAGACATTTATTAGACATTAACACCACTGAATTCCGGTTCAGTGATCTACAGGTTAAGTACTAGAACGCGAGGTTGTTAGGTCCTGGGTTTGAATCTCGCGAGGTGGGATAGTGGATGCCTACTGCTGAGGGGTCCCATACTAAGACGAAACGTCCGTCCAGTGCTTCCAGGTCTTCCAAAGTGGTCTAGATTCAACTGACTTATGATTTCAATCTGTGAAATTTCTAAAATTTCCACAAACCCCTTATAATAATAATGAATTTCATTTTATATTTTCCTAATTTTTTAATTTTTTTTCGTATATATATTGTACTAAAAAAACAAGGTCAGATTTTAATATTCGTCTCCGTCTACGGACAAATAAAATGGATGGTTTAATTTTATTAATGGTTGAACAAGATTCATTGAATCCTCAACATGATCTATCATCGTCATCATCATCAATTTTAAATCAACCAGTAACACAAATTACAACTAATTCAGAATTTGTATCAATCGTATTACGTAATGGTCGTGTTGAATTATTATTGAATTTAGTTACATCAAGAAAAATGAAAGATCAATCTTGGAATATAAATAACAATGAAAATGATAATCCAATATTTAATCGTCTTATGCCTATTCAAGCAAGACATAAAGTAAACGATGGTGAATGGCATATGATACAAGCTATGGGGTTAGAAAATAAAATATATTGCTATTTTAAATCGTGTTATTTATATTTTACAAAGTGATTTTTTTATAAGTAAATTGTATTTTGATATGTTAGATGGTTGAAGCAACATTTCGTGATACTTCGTACTTATCAGCAAGGCCTATTTCTAATCTTATTGGAACTGGTGATCTCATTACTGTGTAAACTCATGTCATTAAGTAGATTTATATTTTTTTTAAGTGGAATGTTACGGGTTACCTCTTACTTACTGACAATATAATTTCATATATATATATATATATATATATATATATATATATATATATATATATAGGCGGCCTGCTTGAACATCTGGACTACCTTTTTCTACCATTTAGATATTTCAATAAGTTATCTGGTTTTGCTTGTTTTAACACATCATTGTTTGTTAAATGCACAGTCTATTAAAGTACGTTTATGAAAATTTTCCAACCTTTCAATGTACAAGTCAGGAAAGAGCACAATCAGAGACATTGTGGTTGCTGGCAATATACATCGAAAAAAATGTAAATTATTCAGATATCGATTCCTGAACTGCTAACATCTCATTGGCGATCACTCAGTATTTATCGTCAGGATCGATCAAGAAATAAGAAACGGAAACTTGTTGAAATACTTTGCATCGAGAATTCTATATTGTACCAAAAATATACTATTGAACAAAGCTAATAATTATAGTCAATGTCAATGATGTTACCAATGAACTCTTCATGTAGAGTTTGACCTCCATTAGGACTGATATATTTACAGGCACATAATTAAAGATAAACAACAGCTGAAACAGTATCTTTTGTGTGATTGACCTACATAAACCGACCATTTTTGTGTTATCTTCCTTCAATTCAAGAGTATTATTCAGTATTGTACAGTATTTTGCATGAGTTTTCAGCAAAGATTTCAATAAATTTGCAGTTAGATTTCAGGTGTTGTCGATACTATTAGCATCATCCTACAAAAATGACAAAGTATATATGTACATTGAAACTGTATTCCGAGTTACCTCTGACCAGTGTTTCAGCATCAAAAGAGACCACGCTAAAACTATAGAATCTTCAATATTGTAGGTGTTTGTAATTAAAAATTTAAACTAAACTTCACTAATTGAGTTCAACAGAAACTACAGGTGATATTTATTTTTACGTACATGATTTCGTTTGTCCAAGTTTATCGAATAGGAAATGATTTAACAAAATTGCTTAATACTTCTCAATACTTAGAATATATTTCATGCGTCTTGATCTCTTGATAGATCTAAATAAAGCTAGAAGAACAAGATTTGTAGAATAACATCCATTAAAGATACTTCAAAGCTTCTTAACATATATACTGACTGATTAATTTACGTTTATCAATCGAATAAGAGATAAGTTCCGATAGATTTGGTGGCTTTATTTTTTTAGTGAAATGTTACAGACTACCTCTTACTATCTGACAATACAACTTTAAATTGAGCATGGTTTCTTGTATTTCCATTGGCTGGTTGCTTTTTTAACTTCGAGATTAAATTAATCACATTCTTATGATTGAACAAACCTTTTTTTCACCCTGAACTGATGAGTTGAATTTTTTGTTTCGCCCATAACTATCATAATATGAACGTACCTATCAGTCTTGATAATAATGATCTGATCATTAAAAACCAACTTGAATAAACACCTCTGAGAACCATTTATTGCATATTAAAATCTCAAAGTTTAGCGAAGGGATCACTTTTCAGTGAATTCACTATAAAGCTGTTCAAATATATTTTATACGAATATTCGTCAATATTAGGACGAATAGGTTTTTTGGAAATCAACTTCCGAGAATAAAGAAGACATCATATATGAAAACTATATTTGAAATAATCTGAGCGATTGAAACACCAATAATAATTCCAACGTTCCGTCCAGCAAACTTGTCTAGACTTCTTCAGAGTAATAATCAAAATTACCAAGGAATATATAATTTTTAATAATTGAATCAAGTCTATGCTGTGCTTGCCCAGTCATATTCAAATGTTCACTTCAGTCATATGCTCATATATACACGATTGTAAAGCTTGATGGTAAATTCGTTACAAAGGGATCCATTCTTTAAATTTTAAGCTTTTAATGTTTGTCTCGTACTGGTTATGACACATAGTTGAAAGTTTCTGATAAAGTTCGGGAACTTTTTTATGGAATTAAATTTAACTATTTCGGATCGTTAAATATACTTTCTAAACTAGTGCATGGAAAATCTTTAAATAATGGTTTTTACAAGATCAATTGAAATTTGCTTTTTTCTAAGGCATCTCAAATGTTATTAAATTAGCTACTTATAAATGCTTATTTAAAGCATAGTTCTCTGTTGCAGTTTAAAAATCTAAAGTTAAGGTTCTGATAAATAACTTAGTCACATGCAATCAAACTACAAAATATCTCAACCCATTCAGATCAACAAATTTAATACCACCAACCATTTCCTGTGAAGTAAATTGAACGGGTACAAAAAGTTACAATTTAGGCAAACTTTGAAGTAGATTACCTACCGTTTTCATAAAATTTAAGGATATGTGTTGTTCCCTCTGTAACAAGCAGTGTATTAAAATGTATCCAAAAAACTTAAGCTACTAACTATAGTAACAGTAGTACATTTGATTTATCAACAATGTGTTCGCATGATATTATTTGATCTCTGTCATTTATATTACTTGTCATTAAATTTCAAAATTTTGTCCTCTCTTTACAGGAATAAACAACGAGCAACCTTATTCGTTGACAATCATATGGTTTCTGGTGAATTCACAGGTATTTCAGATTATGATACTCCCCCGGTGAGAGATGTCTATCTCGGTGAGTCACTAATAATCTCCTCCTTGAAAAATAAGTTGCTAATTCTTAGTTACGCTATGAAATAACCACAGGTTACACTTAGGGAAACTTGATATTTGGATATATAGCTTCCGGCGTTAAGCTATAAGAGCTTATAAAAAGTCTTATTCTTAGAAAAATCATACATTTATATGAACATTTCTTCGGGTATCACTTCATCAAAGGGTAGTAACTAACATCCAAGACTATATCCCAGAGATTCATTGCATTCTTTAATATTCCTAATTAATTTTTTGCGGTAAATTCATGTGTGGAATTCAATACTATACTATTCTGTAGTGTAGTTTGAGAAGCTAGCTATGAGAGTATCTATGATCAACATAAAACTCTTAAACTACTATTTCTAAATGAACAGATATTTCAGCATATGGTAACTTAATTTCTTGCTGTATTTAATAATTACCAATAAGTAAAAATCTAAGAGTAATGACTAATTGCGTTTAACTTTTGATCGATTACTAAACTCCTCATCTGAATGGAATACAATCACTCTCTACATTTCAGTAATTTTCGTAAACAACAGCATTAAATGGGGTATAAGCAAATATCTAACTGATCAAACAACAAATATAAACTGTGAAAACCTGGCAACTCTAGATTACTAATTCATTCTAGTTTAGAACTTATCAGTATTTTGCACCGACGTCCCTACATATACTCGGGTATACAATCTTAAAAAGAATAAACAAAGTAAAGGAAAAGTAGTCAAACTAATGTTTGAGATAAAGTATGATAAACAAAAAGGATAGCGAAACCAGAACACATCTGTTTAGGTAGTAATTGAGTGCTTGTCAAAAATTAAGAGAAACGAAAAAACCCTCTTATCTGGAATCCATGTGAAAATTATGACAAATGACTGGAAAATGTAGGTTATATATTTCAAAACTTATCACAATGGTCTAGATGTAAGACTATGAACTTCTGATTAAGCTATTGACAATCTTATTTACGTCTAAAATAAACTTGATACAAATAATTTAAGAATAATTATCGTCAAGCAACTTAAAACCAGTTCCAAATTTTTGATTGTCAACTTCCAACTAATGTTTCCAGGTTTTCCATGGTGATCTAACTTCAACTGACTCATAATCTTAACCATTGAAATTACTATAATATCCACAAAAGACAACTGATATTTCATTTTAATTTGATCAGATCCTATTATTTTATGCAAGTAATCCATCTCACTTCAAAAACACTTGATAGTCATTATTGATGAATTCATTTGTATTGATTGTTTGAAATTTCCCGTTGATGTTATGAATTGAAATTTATAAGCCAATGACTATTTAGATGGTGGTTGGAGGTAGTCAACAGGAAACCCTGGACCCGGGTTTCGTGCTATTTGGCACTCGTCAGCAAGGTGTACCTGTAATCTTGAGGGAACTGGTGCTCCCTGGCGGATTCGATCTCGTGTCACCCAGCTTCACAGTCAGAGACGTTACCATTGAGCTAGATTACAGGTACACCTTGCTGACGAGTGCCAAATAGCACGAAACCCAGGTCCAGGGTTTCCTGTTGACTACCTCCAACCACCATCTAAATCTCAATACATAGTGCCCGCAGTGTCGAGTCACCTAGACTGGTGGCCACATTGCAACATGATCGATAGCATTCGATCTGCACTAATAAGGACTAGACAAGCATGACATTGATCACCACCCAGTGATCAATCAATTGTGAAGCCAATGACTAATTGAACTTATTAACTTAGTCAAGAACACATTATGCTAGAATCGAGTTCCTGTATAACTATCAACACTAAAATCAAGATACATTCAGTTAAAAGTTCCCAAAAAGGACAAAACTCTCATTCAATTATACTTATAAACATTAATTTTAAATCCTCATTAACTTTTTTTTATATTTTCTTCCAATAGGTGGAACATTATTTAATATTATTGGATTATCAAATGATTATCAACAAAATTTCACTGGTTGTATTGCTGATATGCTTATTCAAGAGAAAATTATACCAATTTTATCAGAAGCAACAGAAATACATGGTCCTATTGAAAGATGTAAAACATCATGAAATAATAATATAAACAAGCATATTTTATTGAATGTGTTCAATAGGAAAAAAATTATTAAAATTTAGATAATGAATTATTTATTTGTAAATGAAAATGAATCTACAAAAACTAGAATGAATCCTTTGTGGTTGTATAAATAAATAAACACATCAATTATTTATTCATTTTATTAAAGTATGATGCTTAGGGTAAAATGTCAACTCATAATATTTTATTGATATCTTCAAGAAAATAATCAATACTTTCCGTTGATTTTTCTCTTCCCTCCCCCCCCCACTTTCTCTCTCTCTCTCCCTCTCTGTAGTTCAATGAGGATTATCTTTCGTTGCTTATGTTATTCGTTTGTTTGTTGTTGTTGTTCTTTCATTTTGATCTATCCATTTTTGTTGTTGTTATTGTTGTTGCTCAAAATTTCAATGTTACAAATAATTTATTGAACTCTTGAATCCATTTCTAAACATCAAATATTTAAAAAATATATATATATATTGATTTTTTGTTCTATTTTAAATCAAATTAGATTTTTCAATATTGCCATAGCTACAAATCAAAATCAAAATTGATTATGTAATGTGGATTTGTTTAAATTATGCAATCATTCATTATCATATATATATTAGTGATTTTTTTTATTATAAAAAAACCTTCATATCACGCACAAATACTGTAATTGAACATTTGCACAAATAGATATTTATATTATCAAATTACTTATTATTATAAAACAATTTACTTTGTCATAATAATTTTGGCATAAATATATACCATATACCCTATTTTACATATTAATTATATAGATTTTAATATTTTCAATGTCATATTCATGATCATCATAATATTAAATAATTTAAAAAAGAAAGATTTAATTTCATGTTATCAGAAGGGGTTTTTTGTGGAGATTTTAATAATTTCAATGGTTGAGATCATGAGTCAGTTGAAGTTAGAACAACAAGAAATACTTGAAAGCATTGGAAGGCCGTTTCGACCTAGTATGGGACTCCATAGCAATGCGCATCTACGATCCCGCTCCCCACGAGATCCGAATCCAAGACCTATCAGTCTTGCGCGCGGGCGCTTAAACATTAGACCAGTGAGCCGGCCAGCATCCAATGGTGGGATCGTGGATGCGCACTGCTGAGGAGTCCCATACTAAGACGAAACGGTCATCCTCTGTTTCCAGGTTTTCCATGGTGGTCTACCTTCAATTGACTCATCATTTTAACCATTAATCTCATGTTGTTTATCGAGGGATTCATGAAAAATATCAAAATATTAAAGGAAAAGTTTTTATTTTTAAATACATATAAGTCATACATTTTACTGAACATTATAGTTCTAGTTGTTTTTAACTTATCTGTTTCGTAAATAAAACAAAAAAGTGATATGGGCGAAAACATTTCTATTATTGATTTGTTTTTTGTTGGCATCACATTCTCCTTCTTCATCGATGATGCCGCCGACTAGACACGTGAATCTTACCACCTCTTCCAGAGATTCTCCATCAAGTGTCATTAGGTTGGTGTTCTCCGTGTTGTATTTGAGTGTGTTGCTTTCTCCCTTGTGTATGTTCAGGCATACTACTGCAGAGGCTACTACTACACTAGTTGTTTTCATCTGCATTTGTTCGTGTGTATGGGATAGGAGGGCTAGGTCACGTACGAAGTCTATATCATCTAGTTGGTATTAAAATTGACAGCTCATAACGCTAACCAGAATAAACAGTTAGATAATATTATAGGCGATATCGAGGATAGAGTTAATGAGGGTGGTTGTACATATTTCGACTGAACGAAAACATCCGGTATTTTACGATAGAGAATGATAGCTTCAGCCATGTTCAATAGACGCTTACGTGAACTATTGAGAAAACTAAAATAAATCACTTGAAATGCCTCGTATAAATCCATTCGGTGTCCAATGTCTATCGAGTTAATGGTAGTAGACAGATTTGCATGTACGTTTGAGCCATCTGAGGTGCTCTTGTAGGAAATCTTATAAAGTGTTAAGGAACTTTTCAAGTCTAGACTTCAACTGATAATCACAACGGTATCGTCTAACGAATGATGAAAACCAAGATAAACTATATCGATCTTTGACTATGCAATGTTGCTTTGGATCCAAAATGTTGGATTTAAGAACACTCCAGGTCTTCCCTTGTGAAACCTAAATTTAATCTGAGGATGCTTAATTACTCCTTATGTTAAGTCTTTGTTGTTTCAAAGGATTTCCCACATCCGGTAGCAACACCGTGTAACAGTCTCATGATCCGGTTACGCATAGTGATTATTCTATGGGTGTAATCGACCTGAAGTAGCAGACCAGTCGTATTTTACGAATATCAATCCAGCGGATCTCATATCTCAGACTATTTTCGACACTGGGGAAAAGAGGACAAACGGTCACTTCATGACACCGCCTGTGTGATCTATCCTATCCAAATTGTTCATAACATCATCATTTCATGTGTAACTAACTTGTCTGTCCCATTTTGTATTGCTTCTTATCAGTGATATAAAAACCTAATGGTTCTGGATGCATAGGACGGTGAAAGAAATGGAAAAATCGCCACTTGTTGGCTAATGACATTTATCTGAATTGAATACTTAAGATTATTAGCTTAAGATTATCTTATCAGAAATGACTCGAAATCGAAGTGATTAATGACCACACCTTAATTTCTTTGTATATTCTTCATGAATGAGCCGTGTTAGTGAGAGGAAACAAATCTAACTAATTCCGATCTTAATTTTACTGTACTCTGATATTCTTGTTTTTATCATTATATCATTCTGGATCGATCGTTTCTTTACAAAACTCATGCACTTCTGACCACTAAAATAGATAAGGTTTTATCGAGATTGATAAATTTTCATATTTTACTTCACATAATGATCTTAGTTAGACAACCTAGAAGCATTGGATAGCTGTTTCATCCTAATATAGACCCCTTTAGAAATATGCACCCACAACCCTAACTTCGGTTTCACGAGCTAACGCTTAATCCCTTGTTCACTGATCTGGAATCCAATGGTATACAACATGTCTGGACTTTATTAATCTTTCTTATTTTCAATAAATAGTATCTAAACCCAAGATGTTTACCTACAAATGAAGGAATTATAATTAGGATCAGGAGTCTAGTTATCACAAATCTTTTTCTTTTAAATTGAAAAGTACGCAGTTTGATCAAAGAGAAAATCTTTTCGAAATTTCCAAAGAAAAAATATACATTATTGAGTAGATACATATGTGATACATCTCTGTACCTTCATTTATATATATATATTACATATGAACAGATACAATTGAAGATTGTTACATGGAAAGAATGAGAAATTAGAAAAATACAAGCTCACATATTAAACTAATGACTAGTATCATGGATCTTTTTTGACAAACAGTGAATTGTTCACAAATAATATAACTATTCATACATGTTTATATGTATGAGTTTTATTTAACTATTTCTATTTCTCTTTTTTTTAAATGCCATCAACAACAACAACAAAATGTAAGAAAAATATAAACATTGTCTATAGTGGTGTGATTACATATTTAGTTTGTATAATTTTGTTAATTGGAAGTTGTTATATTACTAGTAGCAATAATACTGGTTGATGTAGAAAGGTCAATATTAGTATTATTACTGGTAATAGTTGAAACAGTAGGATTATTCACTGGAGCACTACTACTAATACTACTGATAATGACAGTCCCATTATTAGTTGTTGGATTGTGAACTGGATTGCTGACAACAAGTTGAGTAGATGAAGTATTAATATTAGTAGTGGTAGCAGTAGTAGTATTAGTAGTACTGGTAATTGATATTATATTAGTATTTAAACTATTACTATTAGTAGTAGTATTAGTATTGGTAATAGTATTAGTATTGCTTTGATTCATAACAAAGAGGCATTCAGCCATACATTCATATGAGGCGCGATAATCTTCCAATGTAACACCAAATCCTTGACGTATACGCCAATCATGGAGTAAGGGAGCAATACGATTCTATGGATAGAAACCAAAATGAAGAGAAAACTTTAATAGAGGGAGAATTTTTCACGAGAAAAATTTGTTGGAATCAAGCGAGTGATTTTGAAATCGATTCTCAGTGTTCTAATGAAAAGTTACAACTGGTGAAGTTGAACTATATGAAAAGTGAGATTAACAGTATCATTGATAGTACTGAATATTTATATCACTATACGGAGAATCGACTAGAATTGAAAGTGTGGACTGTTTGATTTCAATTAAGTGGTCGAAAGATACCGCTCATGCCGTTAAACCTTAAGATGCTAAGGAGAATCCAATCTCTGGTGAGGTCATGAGGGTACATTGTTGAGTTTCAGGCTAGAACAAAATGCTTATCCAATAGGCTACTTATCCATAACCTTTTTAATAACCAATAAGTCTCGTATGCCCTGCGCTTTTAGTTACTTTTAAATCTACTTAATAATATAAGTGATGCATATTAGAGTGCAGTTTTCACTAAAGACTTTATTTCAAGTATTTGTAATTATACATAACTGTCTAGTACTATAAACAACTTTTGACAGTGGGATTCTGTCTGGATTTCGGGTGTTATCTCCAGGGGAGTTCATGATATGAGAAATGAAGCACACGAACATTGGAATCGTCAATGCCCAATCTACCTTAGGTTATCTTATTGATACATTTAATTTGAAACCAGTGATGGTTTATTGGCTAAGGTGTTCGACTTTCAACAACTAAGTCCCAGGGTCCAAACCACACCTGACCTACTTTGATTTGGACAACTGTGGGTGGGAGTAGTACTATTATTCTTCAGACTTAGTGTTCCATACCCAAATACCTGATGAATTAATTAATTTAAATGTTAAATTACGAAGAAAATTATGAAGAAAACGATGACATCACATCAAGAAATTAACATGCCAGTATAGCACAGATGAAATTTTGGATGACAAACATATGGTTGTGTTTGAAATAAGATCTCTATTGAAAAAGACACTAAAATATGCAGTATTTAACTATTAAATGAACGGAAAAATGACTAAGTGTTGAGTTCAAAGAAACTTATTGAATACTGAAAACGTTGCGGATAACTTGAGCTCTTCAATTACTCTAGGTCTTAAACGGCTTTTCAGTTAATCTTAGTCTGTAAACTTTCAATGTTTTTCACCATTTAATGATACAATTGCAATTTTCAAAATAAGCCCATAACCTAATGAGCATACTTCGCTTTTGTTTACTAACATTTACGCAAATTTCAATGGTTAAAATCATGAGTAAATCGAAGCTACATCACCATGAAATACCTGGAAGCATTGGAAGGCCGTTTCTTCCTAGTATGGGACTCCTCAGTAATGCACATCCACGATCCCGCTTCCCGCGAGATTCGAACCCAGAACCTATCAGTCTCGAAACGGTCGTCCAGTGCTTCCAAGTTTTCCATGGTGGTTTAGCTTCAAATTGACTCATGATTTCAACCATTGAAATTTCCAAAAAGAAATCTCCACAAAACCCTTTCTAATTTACACAAATATCTCTTCATATAATTAGAATTAAACTCAATCTATATAATAATGAATTGTTAATCACAGATATGATGATGAATTTCCACAATCATTATGTTGTAAAGTTTGTAATTTTATTAATGAAACAGAGTATCCTCGGATATTTAACGCTGAAAATTTAAGTCATTCAGAATTTAATAGCTCAAATTTTAACTGAATCTTAAGTCTTATTTTATTTTAACGGTTGTCATTCAGTCATATTCAACATAAAGACCAGCACAAATCTGCGTTGACCGAAGCTGTCATACCATATTAGTCCGACCAAACGAAATGAACAAGATTGATAGCAAACGAATCGAAATAATGTAGTAGCAAGAATACCAAGAAGATGGTTCGAAAAAAACAAAATGGAAAGATATGTATGAAGCAAAACTGAAACCGAAGGTCAAGAGGAAGATAAATAGTCCATGTATTTGAACTAATGTGATCAATTCTAAGTAACATCAACTAAATGATGATGATGATGTTACTTAGAATTGATCACATTAGTTCAAATACATCAAAAACATCAACTAAACCCGACCGAAGCTGCTACCTTGACGCGGTGGTCGGGCTTGCCTATCGTGATGACCCAACCGAGCTATATTGGCTGGAACATATGTTCCTGTAGGTTCTACCATGCCAGGAAGGTCGATTGGAGAACGGTAAGACTAAAAGCAGCAACTCAAAGTCTGAGGGCGAAGTCGTACTGCTGACTGTACAGAGATGTGACA